CCCCCCGGGGAAAGGAAAACATGCAGAACCGGAAAGCCTACCCATGGTCGGTGCGGGAGCCAGCGCCACCCGGCACTTGTATGAGTAGGGCGCCAGCTTCTTCCAGGCCACGCCCGCGGCCGCCAGCGCACGGCATAGCTCCGCCACGGCGGTGGCGGGGCGTGCGCGGCAGCTCCAGCCCAGGCGCCACTGCCGCGCGACCACGAGGCGCGCGGCGGGGTTGGCACCGGGCGCCGGCGGCGCGCGCGCGCCGCCGGCGCCGCCCTCCTGCCCTTCCGTCATCTCCTCGCGCAGGTAGGCAGAGGAGGGCATGCGCCGCCGGTTGTCGGCCAGCAGGTAGTAGGTGACCGTCGCCTTGTTCTGCTCGCGCCGCTGCACGCTGGCGGCCAGGAAGGAGGGGGAGAAGCCGAGGCGCGCCACCTCGCCCACCACCTCCTCGTCCAGCGCGGCGGCCGAGGCCACGGGGTCGGTGTGCATGACAGCCAGGTAGCGCGGGAGGTGCACCGAGAACCAGGGGTGCTGCCTGATCTCGGGGATGGTGATGCGCTTCAGGGGCTCCACCAGCAGCATGCGCGGGATCAGGTCGCGCGCGCCCGGGGACAGGTGGCTGGGCAGCGTGTAGATGCCGCCCTGAGGGGTGTGTATTGTGTGTGGTGGGGGGGGGGGGGCGGGCGTTGGAGGGCGGGGAGGGGGATGAACAGCGGCGAGCCGAGGGTGGATAAAGGGGGTGAGGTTGGAAGTGTCCTCGGAAGGTGAGGATGTGTGCGAGGAACAGGAAAGGCGCCTGCAGGTGCATGGCCAGGAGAGACCACTGCCCAGCAGGTGCCTCGGCAGGGGGGTTTGGGTGCAGCGGACCCGGTCCCCTCCCCCCCCCCCCAACCCCCCCACATGCCCACCTTAATCTTCTTGAACAGGTTTGGGATGTTCTCGTCGTCAAAGGGCAGGGAGCCGCAGAGGAGGGCGTAGAGGATGACGCCGCAGCTCCACACGTCCACCTCTGGACCCGCGTAGAGCCTGCCGGAGATGACCTCCGGCGCGGCGTAGTTGGGCGAGCCGCAGGAGGTCTTGAGGAAGTGGCCGTCGCGCATGACGTTGCTCAGCCCAAAGTCCGCGATCTTCACGTTCATGCGCGAGTCCAGCAGCAGGTTCTCGGGCTTCAGGTCGCGGTGGACCACCATGTTGCGGTGGCAGTACTCCACCCCAGACACGATCTGCTGGAAGAAGCGTCGCGCCTCGTCCTCCATCAGCCGCCCCTTCTCCACGATGTAGTCGAAGAGCTCCCCAGACTATTGTTGTGTTGGAATAGGAGGGGTCATGGCGATGGGGATGGGTGAATGGTTGTTTGCATGCAATCAGGGGGGGGGGCATCCCGCGCAGGGGCCGCAGCAGCCCTTGACCATCAACCAGGCCAAGAAGTCTCCATGGCAGCCTCAGGTTCCCCTACCACCAGGCAGGGCTCCGCTCTCCCACCTTGACATACTCCATGACCACGTAGATGTCATGCGCGGTCTCGATCACCTCGTACAGGCGAATGATGTGGGGGTGCATGAAGAGGCGCAGGATCTTGATCTCTCGCCGAACTGCAGGTCGGGGCAAGCAGGAGGAGTACATGCAGGTCTGCCTGGACCTTTGCGCGAGAGTGGCATGCAGCAGAGTTGCCCTTCACACCACCCCCCCCGGGGGCGGTGCGCAGGCACCTGACGCCCGGCCAACCTCCACCATCATCCACCCCGCTCTTACCTTTGTCCTCCATGTCCATCTGCCGGATCTTCTTCCTGTTGAGGATCTTGATGGCGACCTTGTGTCCCGTCAGGATGTGCTCAGCCACCTTGACCTGCAAAGGTGGAGGTGGGGGAGCCTTGTTGGTCACCACCACACGACCACCCACCCTTGAAGGGACTCACCCTGGGGTGCGCTCGGATCACATCCGCCGGGAGTACCTTGCCAAAAGAACCGATCCCTAGAGTCTTGCCAAGCCGGTAATTCGACAGGAAGAACTCCGTCCCCGTCTGCGCCATGGGATTGGCGCTGGGAACCCCGGGGTAGGCCACGGGAGGGGCGTGGTGGTGCGCTGCGTCTGCCATCTCGGAGCGATGCAGAGGAAAACAGCTCGTAAAAGAGAGGCAGGCGTGCCTATTTCAAAGGCTCCATGCCCTCCTCTTGCCGAGATCTCTGTACCGGAGCTAGGTGGTCGGGGCACGATAACGACGGGGCTGGCTAGAGAGGACAGGCAGCTCTGGACCTGGACGGTGCCAAACTAGACAGAACAATCACTCCTGACGGATGAAATATCGGTGTGGGTCCCTGGTGGCATCAGGAGTACCGCATTTTGCGGTGGGCACCCTTGCGATTGATGATGACGTGGGTGCATCGAGGGGTGAAATCTAGCCTGTTGGTTCTGGCCAGCCCATTCTCGCCCAATCCTCAAAACCTCCCACTATCAGCGCTGACAGTACAACCACGAAGGAATCAGCTTGGTGTGTGTGGCATTGCCAGTTCGGTAGAGTCTGGGGGGGCAAGGTTCCACCTAGTCGAGCACTATCACTCAGGTAACCGCCCCAAGCCTCTCTCATTACTTTGGCCTCCTGGACTCCTTGGCCCTGACCTTTAGCCGGATGGGCACCCCCTCCAGCCCAAACTCGGCGCGCAGGGACTTGGTGAGGAAGTTCTGGGTGGAGGACGGCATGGACGCGGAGCCCGACACCCAGGCGACAAAGGTCGGGGGCCGGCCCTTGGCCTGCAGCATGTACTTGATGCGCCCCACGTCCTTCCCTCCCCCGGTCGTGTAAGAACTTGCCAGCTGGCGGGAGACGGGAAAAGGTGGTGTGGAGGTCGCATGAGTGTGCGGCTCCTCCGCCCAGGGCACCCGCATGCGGGCTCTGCGTCCACAGCCAGGCCGCGTGCAGCGCACCGCACCTCAGGCAGGTGGGCAAGGCCACGGTGGGGAGTGCAGCAGAAGAGCTTCCGCCCCTGTCATCCTCAGCCCAATCCCACCCACCCCACCCGCCGACACCCCTCCCTGCCCCAGCTCACCCCAGCCACAAAGCGGTTGAGCCGGCCCGTGGAGATGCGCAGGTTCCAGAGGCGATACACTTCGTGCACCGCCGGCAGCAGGCCTGCCACATCGGCGCGCAGCGCCGACATGGGCAGCAGGCGCACGCTGGCGCCGGCGGGGAGGCCGCGGTCTAGGCTGCGCCGCAGCAGGCCCAGCACACCCGCCCTCGCCTCCCGCCCCAGCGCGTCCATCTTGTTGGCGGCGATGAGCAGCGCGCGGCCGTGCAGGATAACGTCGTTGGCCAGCATCAGCTCGCGGTGTGTCAGCCCCTCGCCATGCTCCGACACCCTGCAGGGGGCCAAGGGGGGTGGGGGAAAGAATGCTTGCATTTGCTTGACAAAGGCAACAGGGTCGCGCTGACGCTGGGACCACTGGGACGCATACATCCGCACCGCCGCCTGACTCAGCGTGGCGTTCGTGCCCCATCCCTTGCCCGGCCTCATGAACACGGCTGTGCCAGTACAGCTAAAGTCCCTCCTCCTCCACACTGGGCACCTGACGCCGTCCACGACCAGGACCACGACCTGCGCGCTGTGCATGGCCGCCGCGCTGTCTGCCAGGGAGCGCTGAGTCAGTACACCGCCGGCGTCAGGGTCATGCGCGTCGAGGCGCGTGCGCCGCACCCACCCCGCCGTGTCCACCAGCTCCAGGATTTGACCCTGGGGTGGGAGGCGGCGGCGGCGGGGGTTGGGGGCAGTGTTGGGAAGAGACCGCGTCCGGCTGGTGGGATGCTCCTCGCTCCGCGTCCTCTAGGGCACCACACACCCAGCCCCTGGCCATCATCCAGTGATGTGTAGGGCCCACAGGGTTTGGGATTGCCCACCCAATGCCCCCTTTGCCCCCCCTCCCCCCCACACACACCTCGTGGCTGAAACGCGCTGTGACTGCGTCGCGCGTCAGCCCCGGCTCCGGCCCCGTCAGGCATCGCTCGCTGGCGAGCAGGGCGTTGCAGAGCGTGGACTTGCCCACATTGGGCAGGCCCACCACCGCCATGCGCAGCAGCGGAGAGGCCTGCGAGCCGGGGGACTGGGCTTTGGTCGCGCTGTCTCTTTCAGTCGTGCGCTCCGCTGCTGCGTCACCGCCTTCAGCGGCCGGCGCCGCGTCGTCGGGCGCCTGCATACCCTCCGCTGCGAGCCCCGGCGGCCCGGAGCCCCGAGCGCCGCCCACACCAGCTCCCTCCGCGCCGCCCATGCCAGCTCCCTCCGCGCTGTCCACGTCGGCTCCCTCCGCGCCGCGAACGCCGGCTCCCTCCGCGCCGCCAACGCCGGCTCCCTCCGCGCCGCCAACGCCAGGTCCGCCCGCGCTGCCCACGACTCCCCATGCCGCCCCCCGCACGGCATCCAGCAGGGGCTGCAGGCCTGCATACAGGTCGGCCATGCCCTCCCCCGCCTCGGCCGCCACGGCGACGGCGGGGCCGAAACCCAGGCGCGGGCTCTCCGCCAGCCCCGCCGCACTAGTCTCGCGCCGCTCGCACTTGTTGGCCACCAGCAGGACGCGGTGCGGCGGGGGTAGGCGGCGCAGCCAGCGCGCCAGCTCCACATCCCCGGGCAGCACCCCCGCCCGTCCATCCATGAGCAGGAGCGTGACGTCGGCGCGCGCCAGCACGCCTGCCGTCAGCGCCGCCGCGCGTGCCTGGATGGAACGCGGCGCGCGCGCGCCCAGCTCCGGCTCCATGCCCGAGGTGTCCACCACCGTGAAGCGCAGGTCCGCAAGGCTGGCGGGCGCCTCGCGCCAGTCGCGCGTCACGTGGCCGTCCGGGGTGTTCTGCACCAGGGCCATGCGCCGCCCGGCCAGGCGGTTGAACAGCGCGGACTTGCCCACATTGGGGCGGCCCACGATCGCCACCTTTGCATGGGCAAAGGAGGGTTTTGAGACGGGGGCGGGGGATTGTGGGTTGGGAGGGGGGACTCTGGAACCATCCCAACAATCAAGAGGTGTGCAGGGCGCCAGGCCCACACAGAAGACATAGGCAGGCTAGGTGGGGGTCTTGCATAGGTCCATGACGACGCTGCTGGCACGCAAGGATGCAATGGCGATGCGAGCCAGGCGATTGATCGCCACTCCAACAAATACATCTCCAGCCATACCAAAGCACCATCCAACCCACCACAGGGAGACGATCGGCGGCGTCAGAAAAGCATCGCCATCCTCTCAGAGCTCCACATGCTCCTGGGAGCTGTCGACGGGGGGTCCGTGGCCCTAGTACCCTCGCCAGCAGGGTCCAGGTCACACCCCACATGCCATGTGCGCAGGCGTCGCACAAGGTGTATACCAACCTATCCCCTCGATGCCATACAAATAATTGCTAGTTACAGAATATCGAGCATGAGCGTATCTTCTCATCTATGGGCTTTCCTGTTCACAGCAGGGGCCCAAGGGTGCACCGAGAATGCTGCGATGCATGCTGGGCGGCGAAGAGCTCGACTCGGTCTGTTGATGCTTGCCTAAGCACGCGCGTCCAACGGGGCAAGGGTGGGCGGAATCCACTTTGGAAATATATATGTGACATCTTCCAATACTCTAGAAGCGTGGCGAGACAGCTTTCTCGATGACAGACTCGGAGGAGAGTAGGGGTGGTGCAGAAACAAAGCCGGACTCGGAGTCCCCCCGTGAGCGCGATGTGGAGATGCGGGAGGCTCCTCCTAGGAGTGAACGCACAGAATCGTACAAGGTCTTCGTAGGCGGAATCCCATGGCAGCTGGACGACTACAAGCTGAAAGACTGTGAGCACTTCCCAGGGGGATCGAAAGGTTTATTTCGGCAGCTTTTCAGCACCATCCTACGTGCATCGTGATTCTGAGCACATGCTGTCCATTCACTCGGCGCTTCCCCACTCCTGATCTCCTCAGTTTTTCGAGAGTTTAATCCCGCTACGGCCACCGTGATGGTTGACCGCGTCACGGCAAAATCCCGTGGGTTTGGATTCGTTACCTTTGCGGAGGAGGACGACATGAAGGCAGCCATCGAGTCCTTACACTCCCACGAGATCGAGGGCCGACGCATCTCCGTGACCAAGGCTGTGCCGGAGGCCAAAACGGCCCCTGGCACGCCGGCGGGGGCTCTCAGGAATGGGGGCCCTCTCAGGAATGGGGAGTACCGACCACGCGACGACCGAAGGTGGGACTCTTGAATGGCTCTTGGAGCAGGCTAAACATCTGGTGGGCACTGCCATCTCTTCATTCACAGGCATCCTCCAATTCCCCTGCACAGGGCTAGGCAGAGGGAAGGGAGACCAGAGCGCTCTGGCTTGGGTCCTGCCGGGTGCGACGGGGTGAAGGATCACCTGCACTGGAGCTGCTGGCTTCTCAATCGCTCATTCAGTTTGCCCCATAGTGTTCTCACGGCTGACCTATCCATGCATGCCGCTCCCCAGACCCAGCCGAACATATGATCGCGGGGGCTATGGCAGACGCTCTTCCGCAGCCTCTGGGCCAGGATATGATAGGGGCCCCGACAGAGGCTATGGCAGGAGTGGTGAGCGAGGGTACGACCGAGACTACGCTCGACCACAGGATCGATCATGCCCCGCCAGGTACTCTGCTGCCACCTCGACAGATTATCATGCTTTGGCGAATGTCCTATGAATCAGGCTGGCTGCGTGTTGATTTCTGCAATTTCTGAGGATCCTGCATCATGCGCTCACGCTATGCGAGCCATGCGCTGGTGATCTCATTATTTTCTTTTGTCTCTTTGTCCCCACAGTGGGCCCTACGCGCCTGCATACGAGCGCCCAAACTACTCGGTCTATGATCGAGAGCCGAGCCGCGATGGGGATGCAAGGTGAGTGACTCTCGCTGATGATCAATGCTGCTTAGAGTGGGAGCTGGGTATGTGCCAAGGGAGGGCAACCCCCAACTTCATCAAACACTCAGCTTTCCTGGCTCCATGCCCAGCCCTCCCGTCACTGCACAGGGCTCCTTCACGGTACAACCCCGCTGAAAGAGGAGTTGCATATGAGCCTCGTCCCATGTACGAGCCTCGCCCCGTCTACAATGATCGCTCGATCTATGAGCCTCGCCCCGTCTACGATGACCGCCCAGTGTACGAGCCTCGCCCCGTCTACGATGATCGCCCGATCTACGAGCCCCGCCCCGTCTACGATGACCGCCCAGTGTATGAGCCTCGCCCCTACTACGCACGCGATTATAGCGCGCCGGTGTATGATGCGCCAGCGTATGATGCGCCGGCATATGATCCGGTGGCATACCAGCCGACGGCGTATCAGCCAGCGCCATACGAGCCTCGCGGCGGGGTGGAGGCCCATGCGCCGAGGGGTGCCGGAGCTTACGAGCCGCGCGGCGGCTACAGGCCGCGGGAGGAGGAAGACCTCTATGAGCCTCGCGGGCGGTATGAATCAGCACCCCAGGAGTACAGCGCTGAGGCCTACAAGGCGTCCTCCGAGGACCGCTCTTCCCGCGGGTACGGCCGGGAGCGAGGCCATGAGCGGCCCCCTCGCGCGTCGGGACCCTACGACCGGGCGCGATGAGAGGGAGGTGGGGGGGTGATTGGGACGGGCGCCGGCTGCAGTGGTCGCCATGCCGGCCGGGTGACATGCGCCAGGCCAGCTCAGCGCTGTGGCTCACAATGGGACGAGGGGAGCGCACCGCACCAGCGCACCCCATGTCTTGAGAACCTCCAGCCTTCAGTGTGGCTCAGCAGACTGAGCAGGACAGCAGCCGTCTATGACGGAAAGGAAGGACCTCGAGTGCGAGGCAGCTCGCCCAGCCCTGGTCAACAAGTCCTCTTCAGCCAACAATCTCGCTGGCCTGTGGGAGCAGGCCTGCTGGCAGCATGCTGCCCGGGCAATGAGACGCATGGCACCCAGAGTAGCAGCTTTCAGACATGCCCAGGGCTGTCCCTGTCAGCGTCCATGCTCTCTGCACTGTGCCAGTAGCTGCCCACATGCCACCGGACCGTTCAGTATGCTACAGTGCAGCTTGTGGGAAGGTACCGACAAGCCATCCCAAGTGCAGCGGCCAGGCCAGGCAGCGGACTTGGTATCAAAATTGTGGGAGATGCATGCAGCGACTCCTTGCAAGAGGTTCATGTCGGGTGGTCAGAGCTCCGGCCCAAGCGCTTCTCCTTGAGGACGCATTTGGTCGAGGTTTCCAAGCCCAGTGTCAAGCGTGGGGAGTCAGTGGCTGTGCGCCTCTTCAGCACTGCTGTGAGGCTCATCCGCCAGGAGCTTGGCTCGGAACTCGTGGCTGATCACCTCCTGCATTCCGTCGTGTGGATGACGCCTGCTGGAATGGTATGTTCTCCTAGGTGGTGCCTCATGCTTTGGGGCGACTGGCATGCACCAGGCTGCAGTGCCGCCAGCACAGGAGGAAGGCTGCGGGATGGCTGCCCGGGCTGCATGCACGGCTTGCCCGGTGCACAACCTCTACGGACATGCCCTCCCTCAAGCTCACCCTCTGCTGGCGGATGAGGTCCACTGCCTCTGCCACGCTGGACACCTCAGCTTGTGGGTGCATGTGCATGCCCAGCATGCGCCACATAGCCACGCCTCCTGCTGCAAAGATGCCGCAGAGCACGAGGCTGGCACCCAGCGCCTTGGCCTGAAGATCGGGTGGGTTGTTGGTGTTGTGTACCTCTGCATAATGGATGCCAGGGTGCACTACAGCGCCCTGCAGAGGTTATAGACTCTTCCATCACCCCCCCATTCTCTCACTGCCACTGGGAGAGCTCGTAGCCGAGCTCTGGGATCCACCCCCTCCTCTGCGGGGTTGGGGCAGTGGACCACAGAGTGTCAGGGAGCTGCCCTCCCTGGCCTAGCACACGGGCGTCCCATCACAAACGCCGCACCTGCTAGTTGTTTTGCTGTTCCCATATAGTGTGCCCCTCCCCCGATCATCGCCCCCGCCAGTGCGGCTCCCATGCCCGCCAAGGCTGATTGGGTCGGGGTCACGGAACGGGTGTCGTGGGCATGCTCCGACATCGCGGGCGCTGCTTCCAACGGGACGACAACGCGGGGTCCTCACGATGCAAGGACGTGTTATCAACTCGCATGCAGGGGAGCTCGCGATCTGTCGATTGTGCACCGCATGCTGCCACGGCATGCTGTGGTCCCTCAGCACGTCGGCATATCATCTGTACCTGGCCCCCTTTGTGTGTGGAGTCTAATGTCGTGGGACTACAGGTACACGTCAGGTCCAGGGATCAGGCAGCGGCGGTGTGAGGTCCAACCCCCCCCCCTCCCCCACCCACACTACTCCCACTCAATGGTGCTGGGCGGCTTGCTGGTGACGTCGTAGACGACGCGGTTGACGCCGCGCACGGAGTTGCAGATCTTGGTGGAGACGTAGCGCAGGAAGTCGGGCTGGAAGGGGAACCAGTCCGCGGTCATGCCGTCGCTGGAGGTGACGGCGCGCAGCGCCACGACATGGGAGTGGGTGCGCTGATCCCCCTGCACTCCCACGCTGCGGATGGGCAGGAACACGGCGAAGGCCTGCCAGATGTCGTCGTACAGGCCCCACTCCCGGATGGCGTTCACGTACACCTCGTCCACCTCCCGCAGCGTGGCCAGCGCGTCGCCGGCGGTGACGTCGCCCAGCACGCGCACCGCCAGGCCGGGCCCCGGGAAGGGGTGCCGCGCGATGAAGCGCTCGGGCACCTCCAGCAGGCGCCCCAGCGCGCGCACCTCGTCCTTGAACAGCTCGCGCAGCGGCTCGATGAGTGTGAAGCGCAGGTCCTCCGGCAGCCCGCCCACGTTGTGGTGGCTCTTGATGGTGTGGCTGTGCTTCTGCCCGCTGCCGGGGGGCGGGCAGCTCTCGATCACGTCGGGGTACAGCGTGCCCTGCACCAGGAAGCGCGGCGCGTGGCCCAGGCTCGCCTCCAGCCCCGTCGCGTATTCCTGGAAGGTGTCGATGAACTCCTTGCCAATGGCTTTGCGCTTGGCCTCCGGGTCGGTGACCCCCGCCAGCCGGGCCAGCATGCGCTCCGACACGTCGATCTTGGTGACGGGGAGGTGCAGGTGCTCGCGGAAGGTGTCCATCACCCGCTCCGCCTCGGCGTAGCGCAGCAGGCCGTTGTCCACGAAGACGCAGTGCAGGCGGTCGCCCAGCACGCGGTGCACAAGGGTGGCCGCCACCGTGGAGTCCACGCCGCCGGAGAGCGCGCAGATGACGTGGTCGGTGGGGCCCACCGCCGCGGTCACCTTGGTCATCTCCTCCTGCAGCACGTCGGCCATGTTCCAGTCGCCCTCCAGCCCCGCGACCTCAAACAGCAGGTGCCTGATTTAATTTTTTGAGGGTGGGGTAGGAAGATAGGGTGGGGTGGGGTGAGGGGAGAGGGGAACAGGGGGCATGCAGGGTGATGACGGCCAGCGAGCACAAGTTGGATGGAACATGGGAACTTGCTAGGTGAGCCCTGACACAGAGGAAGAATTAGAGGTCTCGGACAGGGCGCTGCAGGCCTGGCCCCCTCACAGGCCGAGGCCTGCCTCGACAAGATCCCACACACATGTGCCCCAACAAACAGAGCCGCTGCCCCACTTGATCATGGCGGAGCCGCGCTCGGAGTGGACCACCTCAGGGTGGTACTGCAGGCCGAAGAACTTGCGGGATGGGTCCTCGATGGCGACGCACGCGCCCTGCGGCGATGGGGAGGGAGGGAGGAAGGCCTGAGCTGCTGCGCATCTCGTAACAACCCACAGCCTGCCCGTTGGGGGGGGGCAGGGGGGGGGGGCATGCAGGGAAGGATCGCCACCCTGAAGCCTGCCTCGATGGTGCGTCCATCATCAGCTGGGGTACTGCAACATATGCTCGTCCGTTGTCCACCTCCATTCTACAACCACACGGGCACCTGCTCGCTCTTGGCAACGGCGCGGAAGCCTTCCGGGAGGGCGGTGGCCGAGTCGCCGTGGCTCATCCACACCAGCTGCCGGTCGGCCTCCTCGCCCGCGTACAGCACGGAGTCACGCTCAACATTGATGGGCATGCGGCCGTACTCGCCGCTGTCCATGACGGTCTGCACCACACCTCCCAGCTGGTGCACCAGCAACTGAAGGGTGGAGCGGGGATTGAATGGAAGTTGGTGGGCTGGGGGGGAGCGCCGGCGTGGACACCCTGTCACCCGCTTCAAGATTGAACATAGCCACCCATCAGTCAGCCCCGGGCTGACCTGCATGCCATAGCAGATGCCCAGCAGTGGAATGCCAGATGACTGGCAGTAGGTGTAGAATTCGGGGGGAAGCAGAGGGGCCCCCTCGGCATGCACAGAGTTGGGGCCGCCTGACAGGATGATCATGCGGGGGTTCACCTCCTTGATGGCATCCTGCATGGCCAGGCACGCGCATTGGTGGCGGGACTGGGTGCTTGCATTTGGTCGTACATCCCCTTGGACATGCATGCGAGGCCAATTTGGATCGGCAAAGGCATGGGCGAGCTCCCGGCGCCCTGCTGCACTCCCCTCACCATGCTGGCATCCCCAGGCAGGAGCACAGAGAGCACTCCAGCGTCCCTGATCCGCCGGGCGATGAGCTGTGTGTACTGGGAGCCATAGTCCAGCACCAGGCAGACGGCGTGCTTGGCAAACACGGCCTTCGTCGCGGCCTCCGGCGTGGGTACGGGCGCCATGCCGTCGGTGTGCTTGCACCAGGCCTTACCGCTCCACGACCCGTATCCAATACGTGCGATGTTTGGAAGTGTCGTTCAAGTCTGGCGTGAGGTGAAATGCGGTATATACGTCGCAGGTCCTCCTGGTCTCGCGCCCAAACCCGCTTTCCATACGACTGCTTGAGGAGGTTCAAAAATCGGGGAGTGGAGGGCTCCCAACACTGAGCGCCACAACAAACCTCCCTCATTCTGTATCTTCAACTATAATGCTCCCCCCAGTCCTGGGTGCTGCAAGACCATCCCCAGGGGGGGTGTGGGTGTGGAGCCCCATGATGCCGGGGGTTGCGTCGTCACCCCAAGCATGGACGCCCCCGCCGGCGGCCTGCTGGGCGCCAGGCTGGCGGCTGGCGGCAGGCCGCACCCCTTGATGGTGGCCGCCTCGCCGGCCTCCCCGCCTCGCTCCAGCGCAGCGACGAACTCCGCGACGGCCCTCACCACCCGCTGCACGCCGTCAGCGCCCTCCGCGCCCCCCGACTCGAGACTGGGGCCCAGACCCTGGAGCACCACAGCCCGGGCGTCCGTCCCCGCGGCCGGTCCGCCGGGGGCAAACAGCGCTCCCAGTCGCTCCGGGGGGCACCGCGCGTCGCGTCCGCCCACCACGAAGAGCATGGGCGGGCTCAGCGCCTCCGCCAGCCGGATCAGGGGACCCTCCGAGTCGCTGGGCGGGGGGGCGCCTGCCCGAGCCTTGGGCGGCGGCGGTGCGGGCTCCTGAGATGAGGAAAGGGGGAAGTGCTCGGTGGGCGCAGCAAACGGGCACAGGCTGGCATGTGGGGTCTGGAGTTCCTGGCATGTGAGGGAGGCTGCCAGAGCAGCAAACGTGGGTCAGACGTTCCCATGCTGTGCCAGCACAGCGCCCGGAGGACAAGCTGGGGCAGTACAGGTGCTATCGAACCTGAAGCTGATCGGCATCGAGGGACCACACATACAGCCGCCTGTCTCCCTTCCCTCTGCAATCGCCCCCCGAGTCGTCGCACCAGCAGCGGGTAAGACAGCGCGACATAGCCCCCGATCCTGATGCGCGTCTTGGCGGCCACCGAGGCGGCAACGCGCGCGCCGTTGTCAAAGCCCACCACCACCCACTGCTGCACGGTGGCCAGGGCCAGGGGCGACAGCGCCGCGCTTTCCAGAGCGCGCTCCAGGATCCGCTGGCGCCGTGCCTCTTTCTGGCGGCAGTGGTACCGCATCACGATGTGGCCCGCGCCAGCGAAGCGGTTGACCAGGCCGCGCATGAGGGGCGAGTCCCAGTCGCCGGCCTCCAGCCCGTGCGCCAGTAGGATGCCGATGGGCTGGATGCAGGCGCTGTCCAGGTAGGTGGCTGGCACCGTCAGCATGGAGGTGCAGGTCTCGTTCTGCCCAGCCAGCTGCACAGGGGTGGAAGGGAGGGGGGCAGGGGTTATGCAAGCCCAGATCAGGTGGGATGCTGTATGATTGTAGGACTGGTTCATCCCTCCAGGGGCAGCAGGGCAACCTCGTGAACGGTAACCTCACTTATGCACCTCTCAGCTGGTGCCACGACGGCACACCAGGGCACATGACCTGGGAGCATCAGGATATGATGCATGCATTCCCCTGCGTTATTCCCACCTCCATCTCGCAGCTGAGGTGGCACACCCCGGCCTCCTCGTCCATGCGGACGCCCGCGGGTGGAATGAAGGCGGACTGGCCACCCTCAACATGCCAGTGGAAGCGAACCATGGCTCAGTACAGCGCAGATGCTATCTATTCCTGGCTCATCATGAAATACGATGCATAGATGTCGAAACCGTCGCGTAGTGGGCTAGTACGGAATGATTCTCGAAAGTGATCGTCAGACACAAAGGCTAGGACTCTGGGCTGTAGAGGACTGTCAGCTATTGAGATTGTCCTTGTTTTACTTCATTCATGAATTGTTCCACTGCCCATTTTAATTCAGTAGACCCCTTGCCATGGAATGAACCACCGATGTCTGATTTCCCGCCAGGAAAGCAAGTGTTGGTGACCACCCCCCGGTACTGCGTTTTAGGTACTGCCCTCTTGGCACAATGGTAGAATCGCGGCGACGGGTCTCCATAGGCGATCCGAGGGCCGGGAGAAGTCCTTTCTGGGGAGGAACAGGAACCAGCTACGGTAAGCGGGAGGTGTGGATCCCTGGGGAGGGCTGGAGCCCTCGAGCCGCCGCTGCTCGCCCTGCCGGGCAAGCCTGTCGAGGCCGGTGCTGCCCCGGTTCCTGGCTGCGGACACGGGAGTCGGGGCAGGCCATGCCCAGCATTGCGTGCAAACGAGGTATGAGGCAGGAGGTTCGTGGCCGTCGCTCACGTCCCCGGCCCCCCCGCCCCCTCCACAGATGGGTCGCGTTATCAGGGGCCAGCGTAAGGGTGCGGGCTCTGTCTTCAAGTCCCACAACACCCACCGCAAGGGTGCCGCGAAGCTGCGCACCTTGGACGCGTCCGAGCGCCATGGATACGTCAAGGGCGTGGTGACCGAGGTCATCCACGACTCAGGCCGTGGCGCGCCACTCGCCAGGGTGCGCCC